GCTATTTGTAGGAAAAAAAAAAAGTTGGACTGTGACTTGTGATAGCCCAAATTTGTGTTCAGTGATGCAACTGAAGCTAACATATTTAAAGGCCATTTAAAACTTTTGCAAAACTTTAAGTTAGGACCATCTTTAACATGCTTGTGGCTTCAAAGCATTAATTTGATGTATTAATATTTGTATTATATCTAGTGAAGTTAGGTTTTTGTTATGTATTTTTCAGTTATTAATGTATTTCAAAGGCACAGTCTTCGACCTTGTTGGAAATAATTTTTTATTTAAAATTTTATAGTCTCTGAATCACCTCATTTAACACTACATTTTTATTTTGAATAGTTGTAAACAGTTGGTATTCTGCTTCTTTGCAAGAGAGGTGTACCTTTTAGAGAACCTCTTGTGAAACTTAGTATGTTCAGGCACTGAGTGAAGACATCAAGTTTTCACAACTTCAGTAGAAAAACATAATAGTGAGGAATTATAAACTAAATTAATCGGCATTGTAAAATTCAGAGAAACCATGCTCTTTGTATAACTGTACCTTAGTATATATCAGTTCACCATTTGGTTGGAAATGTAATTTTTGGACAGATATTTTAAAGCATTAAGGAACTTCCAGATCTGGGCTGTGCCTGCATAATTCTGTGGACAAGTAAAATGAAGCTCCAGCTTTGCAAGTACCTGCTGTTTCCAGAGCTCCACTTACAGAAGTTCTGGCAGCAGCAGCTATCTTGTAGGCAGCAGCAGTTGGAAGAGGAGAAGAATGACCTTGATAAACTGCTTGTGGAAAACCTTTTCTTAGTCCTGCCCAGAAATGGCCATGTACTAATGAGGCAAGCATTGACTGTAAGGACAAGATAATATTGCTGACCTGGAGTGATCTGCACTACTTGAAAAGTAGGAGGAGGACAAGGCTTCTTGAAGGCCCCAAGTTGTGCCTACTCATGCAGCGTCCGCTTACTTTCATGGGAACTCCTGCACATTTTAGAAGCATGTGGCCTCCCACACCAGGGAATTCACCACATCCTCTAGCTGCTGTTAAGCATTAAATCAGTTTGAAACATTGTGCATGCGCTTTGTGATTAGGAAGGAAGTGTCAGGCTGCTTGGTGGTATCCTAAACAGTTCCTTGGGAGGTTAGGGGTGAATTTGTCTCAGAGGACTCCTGAACTACCCAGGACAGATAAGTGGATTCTCATCAGTGACAAAAAACAGGATCACTGCATGTATGTATTTAAAATTTAAATGCACATTTCTGTTTTTTGTTTCAAAATTTGCCTAACTAAGAGTTCTTACAACTGAGATGGGGCATGAAGGGTGACAGTTTTACTGAAGCCCAGTTGTCATGATAAGAGTGTGTCGTGTGTTGGGTGGCCATAGAGAACCGGACCAGACTCAACTATGATTCTGAGGAGCTTATCCAGACTTTTTTCCATCCTTTATGTTATTCCAGCTTTTTTTTTTTTACTAGTCATGATGCAGTAGTGGTGGTAAGAAAATGAAGTTTGAGCTGGGAAGGGAAAAAAAAGTCTGCTTCTAACAGTTGTATTTTGAAATAAGGGGACTGAGGAGCCTTAGGTCATTTTGAATAATAACACTTGATTATATAACCACGGCTGAATTTGTAGGGTAAATGAGTCAAGAAATAGCATTTGCAGTGCAGTCTTTTCTCCATGCCCTTTCATGACTTTTGTGAAAACAGGAAGGAGGAGGAAAGGGAAGGATAGAGGGTATCTTTAGCTGCCACTTTTTCCTTCTCCCAAGCTAATTTTATGTTCTGCTCCAAGCAGCAACATCCAGGAGCTGCATTATCAGTACTTCTCTGTCTGAGATGTGCTTTTTTTTTGTCTCTTAAATAAGAGACAGTTAAGAGTTTTGGGTGTCAGCTATAATTTAAGCTCTATCTTGTTTTGTGCTTTTTTGTAACATTTTCCCAGTTTCATTGATAGAACTTTTATCTCCTGGGCTACTGGAGTAGTTTGTGGAGGAGCAGGCAATGAAGTATAGTTCACAAATTAGATTATCAACATCATCAGTGCGTGAATCAGGTAATGTGGGAAAATATATGACCATACAGGTTTTTAAAGATCCTATTGCTTTATTTATTGGAAGAATAGATTTGTTTCCATCATCTTGTCATTTTGAGAGATTCATTTCTGCTGGTTCTTCAAGTTTCTTGATGGTATCATATTTGATTTGTTATAGATACTAATGTAAACAACTGCGCTATGATGGAAAGCAAAGTGTTATAATCTTACTTTAAGGAGAAGAGCTAATATGTCCATGTGTGATAAATCTGAGTAAAAAATATATTAAGATTAGGACAGACTACCCATAATAATGAGCTATTATATGTTCCTATTTTAGAAATCTAACATTTTGGCAGCATGTTAGTATGATTTTCCTAAACTTATTTGATGATAATGTAATATTTTCAAGGTTATCTTAGTTTGAAAAATTATATCAATTTATTCAAGATGTTTCTAGAGTTCAAAACATTTTCTTATCCTGTTGTTTTTTCTTTTTATGTCCCGTGATTTCATTTGTTTTTTATGATTGTACAGTAAGTTATATTCCATAAATAAATCACACTTTCTTGAATTTTGAACACAAGGTGTGCATTTAGCCTAGTCAGTGTGCAAAATGCATTTTGACCAACTTTCAGTGACCAGATGTGCTGCACAGAGTGCGAGGTGTTCGCAGCTGTTCTGTGGAACTGCGCCCCTCTGCAGTGAAGGAAGGAGAACGTGGGGAATCCGACCTGGAGCACAACACTGAGCACACTCACTCCAGGTCACTGCTGTGATCTTGGCATTTACAGCTCATGAAACTTTTAGCTGAAATAAAATAAATTTTAGTCTCCCTGTGTATACTGTGCTAAATCCAGAATTAACATTTCTAGCATCTTTAAAAATGTTAGGAAAGAATGAATCTGTGCTTATTATTTTTATGCTTATTCTCTGATAGTCCGTGACTATCTGTGCATTTATGTTCCTTTATTTAAATGAAGCATACAATTTACAGAAAACATAGAGAGGCCTGAGATTCTCATTTCTTTCTTTTGTCAAAATAGGTCTTTGTCCATGAAGACTTTGTAGCTTTATACAATTTTCTGCTAAGTACTTTCTACATGAACTGTTATCTAATATCATTGTGTTTACAATGGCTTATTTCCGGACTTGAATTATTTTATATTAAAAATTTAAATGAAAGCAGCTAAGTAATTAGCAGTGTAAATATGATTCAGAATATTTGTTTACACTCCAAAGGAGCTCTTTGGTAATTACAGCTGTGGCAAATATAAGCACTTGGGTGTTTTCTTCCCGTTAAGAAGGATGAGAAGTAGAGATCATGCAACCTTTGAATGGTTGTTAGACAAAAGTATTCTCAAATTTAAAAAACCCTACAATTGAGAGGCCTACCCTCTTTAGCAGAGTACCCTTGCAGTTGTTCCCCTGGCCCTCCCACAGGTTTTCTTCTTGAATCTTTTCAAATAGCTTGATTAGCTTGATTCCTTTTTTTGCTTGTTTGTTTTTTTTTTCTTTTTGCATTGTGTGAATGTAGCAGTGTATCTGCAGAACTACTTCCCTCAAGATTCCAACATTGCTTTGCTTAAAAAAAATCACGTGCTGCTTCTCAAGCTACCTTATCTGTGGCTGTGGTAAGCGCTTACATTTTCTTATGAGAACACTGCACAGAGAGCCTTACCAGTTGCACCCTTTTCTGCATGCTCCTCTCTGTTGGACTGAGGATGCATAGAAGGTTTATTTAAGCACATGGTAAGTGCTGATGGGATTCCGTCCCTCTCTTTTTTTTCTTTTTTTTTGTTTTTTTTCCCCCTAAAACTTGTATTGTAGCACCTATCTTTTGCTTTTAGGGCTATGAACTTGGGTCTCATTAAATGTCAGCAGTGTCTCCTAAATTCCTGTTCCTGCAGGCCTCAGGCCTCACCTGCATGGCTCTCTGCACCTAATTCAATCTGCAGTTCTAGCTAAAGCTTCAGATTTTCTCTTGACAGTTGAAATAGTTAGCAAGTGTGTCTGTCCCCTTGTGGGTGGCTTCCAGTAGCCCTGAGGAGTAGGTGGGAAAAGGCCAATTTCTTAGAATTAATACAGATTTCATTGAATTAAAGGGAAACTTGCCACTGAGTTTAATTAAGCTAAGTTTTCACAGAAAGTGTTGAGGGTTTTATGGTGCCACTGTTTCTGCACAGGCCGCTGTAGTAAATTGCTACCTCGTTTACCACAGTTTTCCTGTTCGTCATGGCCTGAAGTGCCAAGTATGATGAAAATGCTGGGGGGCAGTTCTGCTGCCGCCAGCAGCTGTGCCCGGCCTTGAGGTTGTGTCACAGAAGAATCTGGTGGGGAGTCTACTGAAAGAGAGTGGCCACTCGTATCGTAACTGTTTTAATTATATCAGTCCCAAGGACCTGAAAAACCACTACCTGCAGGAGGTTAATCGTAATTGGTGTGCAACTTTTAGACGGGAAAAGGTAGCTGCAATCCAGGATTATCAGAGAATTCTTGTGCGAAATTCTTTTTTGTAGTAATCCTGCATTTAATTTCCACTGCTTTAGAGTGGTGGTACCAGTGCTTTAAAAAAAGCAACCATAATAGACTTTCCTACAAACCTAATTTTGAGATTCATATTTATACAAGAAACTGTTTATGCTAATTCTTTGTAGAAGATTATGGTATTGAACTGTTTTTATTTATTTTGTACTAGTATGCTTGTGAATGATAGATAGCACAGTGGATTGATGTCTTTTATCTGGAGTCACAAATGCTATCCCAACATCTTTGCAAATGCAGAAATTGGACCACGAGCATTTTGTGCATTAGAGGAATGTTTTAGAGAGATGTGGTAGAAACAACAGGATTATTTGCAGAAACTTGTGACGTGTTGTTACAGTAATTTAAATCTGGTTACTGCTGATGATTGCTTGGATTCTTGTATGTTTCCAATATTTAAAATGCAGCAGAACTCTCTTTCAACTTTTTTTATTTCTATCTGAATTCTAATCATAATGTAATACTTTGAAGGTGATGATACCTGCGAGTATCTTCTGTCCAGCGGGAGATTTCTTGGAGACAAAGTATGGCAGCCCCACAGTTGTATGATGCACAAGTACAAAAACAGGTAAGAGATTTCTTTCTTTTGGATTTTCATTTGCCTGGAAAGAAATCTAACGGTTGTCGAACTGCAGTTTTAGTTAATTGCAGTCCCATGTTTTTCACTTCATAGCTAATCCTCTGGACTTTGGACAAAATGGGCCATTTATCAGAATCTTTTCATTGTAATTTTTTCAGTGTCTACAATGCTCACTATAGTTGACTTAATTTGCTAAAATACAAATTAGTGGTAGTGGTATCAATAATCGTTTTGGAGAACCACAAGATAGCGCAAGAGACTACAAAACTTTGTGTGTCACTTTCATATTACTGTGGGAAAATGCTATGATTTTTTAATAATCCCACGTGGCTAAATGTGTAGCAAAACAATAATCTCCTGAAGAATTCTATCAAGCAATTGTTGATGAAACTACCAGTCACCTTTTAAAATTAATAGTATCAAGACAACTTTATTTTTCAAAATTGCACTATGTGTTACTATTTTGAAACTTCAATGTTGCTAGCACCACCATAATGTGATTAAAACAGGCTTTTCTATTAGCAGGAGAGTTCATTTTCATCTGTATGCAAATTATTCTACATTTTAAAATTAATCTGATATGTTTTAAAATGGATTTGCCATTCCTTAGAGCTGTAAGTAATGTGTTGATTTATCTCTGTTGCTCTACAGATTTTTTTCCCAAGACTTTTCCCTAAAATAGGCATACATTTCTCATAATACATATTTTGCTGTTTTGTTTTTACAGTGAAGCAAAAAATTGCCTCATAGACAAACATATTGCATTTATAGGAGATTCTAGAATTCGACAGCTGTTTTACTCATTTATAAAACTCATAAATCCTCAAGTTAAGGAAGAAGGAAATAAGGTAAGAGGTTTGTTTTTGTTGTTAATTTTGTTTCTTTCCTCCCAGTTTGCCTCATAACTCATCCCCAAACTTCAGAAAAGTAAGAAAATATATTGTTCACAGACTAGTAATCAGGAAGGAACACAAAAAAAGTGTTTTGGAGAGTAACAGTGTTGGGCCAGTATAGTTGTTTGGCAATTAATGAGATGACTGGCAGTCAGAGAAGGGAACTAGGAAGCTTGAGTGAAAGCTTGTGGCAGTCTGGGAATGAATTAGTGAAGCTGATTTATCCCGTAGAAGCTTGTGCTTCATATTTGGCTTCTTGATGAGAAAATGATTGTTCCGCTGTGTTTTTTTAACTAGCAGCAATTCATAGCTATAATTTGTCATTTTATATGTCAGTTAAATTGCTGATCTAATCTGTTCATAAAACTCCTTGGGGCATTGAGTGATTTCCAGGTCTAACTTGAAGCTGAAACTAAAAATAGATTCTGGTCTTTTTGTTTTACAGCTGCTGAAAGGCATTTTGAATTTTACAAAGTGAGCAGTGGGATCTACAGCTTGGTGGGTGGAAGTAGTAAGGACATATTTAGCTATACACTTTGAACAGAGTGATAATTTCTTTTTGGTATATCATACTTCTTAAGTTTATGCACCTATGCAAGGAAGAAGACAGATTTCACTTCCAACTTTAGATTTTATCTGTCAATTACTTAGTATCTCTGTGGTTTGGAAGTGCACGCCGGCAGTTTATTTAATAAGCTGTGAAGGCACATTTCACTTGTCAAAAAAAGAGATGTTTGTTTGATTGAATAACTGTTTTTTCTAGCCTGGTGATTAGATAAAAGTTGCTGCCCAGAAATGGGAGTGAGTGAAGCAACATTGGGGCGGTAGAGCAGTATGTCTAATTTCAAACTGAGAGGTGTGTTTTGGGAAATATTTAAGGAATCAAGATCTCCGTTTGTGTGAGAGAAATATACTTGTCATTTTGGATGAACACTGAAATTAGGAATGCATATAGTCATAATATATTAAAGGGGAGTTCTATCTATAGTTAAGGTTATCTGACTACTTCTATCATAATTTCTTATATCTTTTCATTCTACACACTGAATGATAACGTCCAGGCTTTATTTCTACCTGAGCTGATTTTTTTTTAATTCTTTATTTAAAATTGTTTCAGCTGTTGTTTACAAAGAATGTAGGCATTAGGTAGGTAGGTAGGTATATGTAGGTAACCGCTAGGGCAAGGTAGTGTATGAAAGGCAAGAAAAAGAAAAAAAGTCAGTTCTTCTCTTTCTGAGCAGAGAACATAGGAAAACATTTAGTGATACCTTTGTAACAGAGTGAACAGAAAGCATTTCAGACTTTCATGGATGTAATTCTATCAAGAAAAATGTCCTCTCTGAGAGTAGCATGTTTTATCAAGAAAGTAACATCAGCACTTTACTGTGGATATATTGACAAGCCTATAAAAGAAAAGTTCTTTTAGCAAAGGTAAACCTTTAGGTGAGGACAAATTAACATGTGAATATATGTGTGTATATATATATATACTTGTACATATGTATGTATTTCCTCTTCTGAAAGATTGTTTGTTGGTTTTTCTGTTTGGCTTTTTTTCACAGCATGGAAATATACCTTTTGAAGATAAATCTGCTTCAATTAAAGTGGTAAGTTTTTATCTGGCTTTTAAATTGCAAGTTGTAAGAATATATAATACAAAGTATACAAATTGCTGCCAAAGCTGGATTTTTCACATTTCCACAAATGTTGTAATTGTCAAAAGAAGTGTGAGAAAGATAAACATGTTTTATAAGTTTTCCACAAAATATATTGTAATATATTTTGATTAGGGTTCTTTGAGGGAGTTTGGCTTTGAGTACTTGTATTCTGTGATAGCTCTTGGCTTGAGCTCTGGAAATATTGAGTATTTTTTTTTTTTTACCAAATCTTATAATATTTGGCCTTTTCAAGAATAGCTTTCTATGAGAAGTTTACTGTCTTATACTCCTAAGAATATGTATCTGGAGCTAACTTTCTGGGAGTGGCAAATGCCATAATTGCCACTGAACTCCCTGTGTTATCCCAGCAAATGTTCTTTCCACTGTTACTGCACAAAGAAAGAGCCATGATGTTGATGCAATGTGGATATTTTAAAAAGAAAGCAAACAAAATGCAGTGCTCTGCTCTGCCCTGGCAGTTACAGTGCTGTCCTCAATAGCTTTCTGTGCTTCCTGTGCTGGCTGTCAGCAGTGCTGGGACTCTGCTAGTCATACATTTATTTATCCCCTGGAGACAATCCATTCTCTGTTCATGCAAAGCAAATACACAGAGTACTTGCTCAGTTGTCTGTGAGTGAGTTTTGAGTACTTGTTTGGGCACCCAGTGAAGATTTAGGCTGCTGAATACAAGTTTAGGATGTGATCGCATGGCAGGTTAAGCCTAGTGACCTTTTATCTCACTCTTTTGCCTCCATCAGCTTGTTGCTGTGTTGCATGGCAGTCCTGTAACTAGCTAGAGTGGGCTGCTTTAGGAGTTGTTCCACCTGGAAAATTTGTCTTGTCGGGTTCATTTTCAGTGTGATCCGATAGGATTCGTCATGTGGGGATCTGAAGGTTGAAAAGGAGAGGACATAGTTACAAGGCAGGAGGGAGAGGATGAAGAGTTCCAGATTTATATTGGCTTAGCCTGAGTCATCTCTGCATCTTTTAAACTCTTAAAGCCTGGATAGGGGTCTAACCACCAAGATTTGAGGTGGCAGATTTGGGTGTCTAGGGGATGTGAGGGCAGTTAACAATATTTTCCTGCTCAAAGAACAGAACTGTGCTTTGACTCCAGATTGCTGTCACTCTTACTGGTATAGTAGCTGAATTTTCACATTCAGAAAACCTCCAGTGAGTAATCTGACTGTGGAAAATACTTGACTGACAAAGGAGAAATTCACTGGGGAGCAAATGCCCAGCTGAATTCTGTCCTTTCTGTTCATACTAGTGACCCGTGTGCTCTCTGGTCGATGCAGATGGCTGCTGCATCTCACACAAATTCATTCCCAGGCATGAACTGAGTGTGTGTCTCAAGTGACCTACCAAACTCTGTCAGTCTGTGTAGGTGGAAGATAGAGATATTTCCTTTCTGCTATTAGCATTTTTGCATTCTCCATTTTAAAATTTCCTTACAATTGTTTTTACATATGTAATCTTTCCCATTTCACTTTGATTCTGCAGTCATTTTGGTACTTCTGTATCTGAGATTGTAGCTACACGCTGTGTAATCCTCTGGCTTTACCTGGGAGACGTAATGGCACTAGCCAAAGCATAGATTGTTTTTATAGATGAAGATTGTGGATTCATCATGACATCTGAAAAAAAAATGAGAGTTAGTAGTAAATGCATTAAATATCCTTGATTCTCTGAGGCTTAAGCAGCTAGCAATTACTGAAGGTCTAGTTAGTGTTAAATGTGAGGATTTCTTATAGTTTGAAAATCATGATCTCAGTCTTGCAATCTCATTATTGTTCTGTAAAATTCTGGGTGAAGAAAAATCTGTTGGTAAAACTGTGGGGAATCAAACAAAAAGCAAATTGAAATAAAGAAATCTCAAAATTAGTTTGAGATTTGCAAAATTAGTTTTAGCCCTGTTAGTATTGGACAACAGGAATCATAGTTGGCAGAAGCTAAGAGTCACCTTGTCAGCGAAATCTTGGCTCCTGAGCTACAAGTTGAAATGTCCCTCATTTCTTTTCTTTCTTTCTTTCCTTTTTTTTTTTTTTTTCCTTCACCCCATGATGTTAGGTTTAATGCCAGTTAAAAAAGAAATCTCACTTTGGGTCATGCAGTTTCCATTCACTGTTGCTTGGTTAGTTCACTTTTCTGAATTTTTGTTTTTAGTCTACTGGTTATGTTAATACTTACAAAGTATATCTGTGTTTCCGTTATAGGATTTCCTGTGGTATCCAGAAGTTAATGGCTCTATGAGACAACGTATCAAATCTTGGACTGAGGTTTGTTTTGAAAATATGTTTTCTTTAGGAAGATAGAGCAACTAACTGAGGAATGTGACCTCTTTCATTGCCAAATACACAACTGTAATTGCTAAGAGTTAAAGCCTGTGTTCAACAGCTGTTGAAGATGTGTTCAAATGACATGTATTCACTGAGTTATGTACCAGAGATCTGAAGCTGTCCGAATAATAAAGGAGAATGTTTACTGACATACCTGATTTGAGATTTCCCTCTCAAGGGGGAAAAAAATAATGCCATGATTTGGCACACCACAAAGTTGTGGCCCTGCTTTTGGGGGTGGAGAAATTTTCGTACTCGTGCTGAGTGATCTGATCTGAAGAACACAAGCAAGTCTGGAAGTGCGTAGAGTGCTTTGACCAGCATTACTCTGACACTATATACTGGTTATTTCATACAACTATTTCACTTATGATATAGGTGGTTATGTTGTTCAGCATGCAGTACTGATGAACTATTTATGTTACTGTATGAGTAAAATATTGGCAGAATGGCAGTTAATCTTTGGTGAGGGTTTCTCCTTTCCTGGTTTGTGAATGGTCCAGAAATATCTAGTTATCGTCTGTGGTGACTCTTGTTGTTACCTTATTACCTTTCAATTTTCCTTTCCTGTGCTCAGTACAAGCATTTGAGAGCGTTTGCAAGTCCTTGCTCGGTGAGGGCAAAACTTGCTATAGAAATGACCTGTGGTTTCTGTTTCCTTGTGCTCTTCTGTTTGTGTGTGTGTTGGATGCAACTTTCACACTTCTGGGGCAGTATCTGCCAGCTGACCTTGCTCTGTTTTACAGTGGCCTTGCAGTCACTTTGATCTTTGCAACAGCTCATACAGATGTTCAGGAATGCTGAGAGATGCCTACAGAAAATGTACTTCAATAGTGTGATTTACAGTTTACTTGATCTTGGGAGAAGGTGTTTAGCTAGCTTTTAAAGAGAACTTTTAAGGGAAACTTTTAAAGTTGCTGCTGCTTTTGAGTGCTTAGTCATACTATGTATCTTTGTGGATTCTGTCATGTGAGAATTTTGGTACTTCTCAAGTTAATTTTCATTATAATCTATCTGTGATCTACTCATTTGTACCTGTTAACTGATGGACAAGTTGAGTCACAGTTAATTAAGATATGAATCTTAATTAACCTACTCAATATACTGAATGGGTATAATTGTGAATGCTTTTGAACTAATTTCTTTTTACCTTATGACTTAGGCTGCCACGGCAAAACCTCATATAATTGTAGCGGGAGCAGCCACGGTAAGCTATACACTTACTAGACATTTTAATGAGGAAGGAAGTTGAATGGGATAACTTGTATGCCATCAAGCAGGTGGCAAGATGAAGTTTTTCTCCCAATTTTATAATTAAAAAAACACTCTGAGTGAGTTTTTGGTCATAAAATGTAAAAATATGAAGTGTATTTCATTGTAGCTGTGTGGTTTACTTGCTTATTCACAATAATATTGGTTAGGATGCTTTGATTAGCTTGAAACACAGGTAATAAAAAGATTTTTTGTGAAAAACAGATTATTCCTAAAAAGCTGTAGAAAAAAAGAGCTTGTATGTTAACTGATATCCATGTCTGTTCATAGTCACAGAATACAACTTTTGAGCATGACCCATGGGAATTCTCTTTTGAGGCTTTCACAATTCTTAGATTTATATATGGGCAAAAAATTACGGGAAAATCTAGACTAAGGCTTTGTCTAACCAGTTCTTTAAAATTCCCAGTGATGACAACAATTCAACAGCCTCTTCCAAGTAGTCTGTTCCCATATTGGGAATCCAGGATCATTAATGATGGCTGCTCTAATTATCTTTCACGTTTCGTTTTCCCTACTTCCCAATGTTTTGAAATGGAATTTTGAAAGGAATTGGCCATTTTAATTTCATATAAGTGGCAAGTGGGGAGAAAAGGGTGGGGATTTTAAATAAAATTTTCAAAGCAGTTTGGCTTAGAGAAAAATTAGACATTCTACCAATCTCTACGTTCCTGGACGTGCTAATATTTTAGTTGAAGGTAAAATGTGTGTATGTGTGTGTGTCCTCACCTCCACACACTTTCCCTCATGTAGTCAAAATTTCTCTCCAAGTTCAGTTTCTGTACAGATAAACCCCCCAAATTCTCTTCTGCTGTAGGATCCACATAAATATTTTGGCCTTTAAGAAGCTTGGCTAACCTAGGATATCTCCACTCAGCTCCAGTATCTAACATATTTTATGAGCAAGTGTCATTATCTTATTTTGCAGAGAATGTGCCGTTCTGTACAGCTGGTGTTCTGGGACACAGAAACCCAGGCTGCCAAACTACAGGCCTCTGCGGAACACTTCGTTTTATTCATGTATATGTTATATATGTGCATATGTTAGCCCCAGCATGTTGTCCTCTGTGGATATCAGAAGAGAACCAACAACATGCATGAGAGGCTTAGCTTTTCATAGCACACCAGTACATTTACAAACTTACAGATACTACAGCTGGCCAAAGATAATCACCTCTTGTTTTAAGTGACTTGCAGAAAAATTAAGGTCTTCAAAAATCTTACCACTGCTTTGACTTTAGCTAAACAGTATAGATACAATAAGAATACAGGATTTTTGTAATCTTTTCATGTAGGAGACGAAATCAAAATTCTCCAAAGCATCCTTGCCTTTCTTGCTGAAGTCCAAGTTTTGTGAGAGTGAAATCTGCTGGGCTTGGCCCCAATTCTTAGTGTGACTATTACTGCTGTTTCAGCATTGCTCAACTCGGGAAACTTGTGATTAAGGCACCTTGTACCATGTAATCTATGAAAAAAACAAATATACAGTAAGCTAAATAAGATAGATTGTGTGTTTAATTGCCTTGTTTGAATTTAATTATTTGTTTAGACCGTTATTTCTAGAATAAAGCTTTTGAATGCTTTAATAATGAACAGTAAAAGAACAAGCTAGCTTTATAAAAATAGTGAAAAATGCCTATTAAAGGAGAAATGAATCAGTTAATATAGGATCCTCAGACATATGGGTTCTGAATCTGTTTTCATTTAATTCTCCAGTGGTCTATCAAGATTCACAATGGCAGCAACGAAGCCCTCACACAGTATAAAATCAATATCACTTCAATTGCACCTCTTTTGGAAAAATTAGCAAAAAGTAGTGATGTTTACTGGGTCTTACAAGGTAATGTAATGAACAGTAGGTAATGGCAATTTGTAATGTCACTGTTTGTTGAATCAATATCTTGCAGGATATCTTGGCTCTTGGCAGTCAAGAGCACAAGTGCATAAAACACCTGAATGTCCGTGTCCGTTCATTTTCCATATGACATAAGTAACAGAGAGGTTCTGCAAGTGCATCCTGTGTGAGTGTCCAAAGGGAATAGATATGTTCTAGAAAATACAGAGAATTGAATTCTCTGAAATGAAACTTTCTTCTGTACCCTGAGCACTGATGAGTTTAGCTTGGGAGTCAGAGGACCTGGTTCAAAATCAGTCTGAGATTTTTATTATGGCACCAGACTTGAATGTATTCTTTTGCTTTACTTGAATAAAACTAAAAGATATCTCTGACATCAAAAATGAGCTCATAGGTAGATGTGCTCCTGGTTTATCTTCCACAGAATTTAACATTTTAGGTGATTATCACCTCAGTTTGACGGACCGGCAGATTTTGAGCCCTGAAAGGAATATGCCCTTGTGTATCTTCACAGTTACATCTTGAGTGCTTATCAAAGACAGTTTTAGAGGTTTATCTCAGATAGATAGGTAGAGGTTTACCATCAGATTCATCTTTTCACATTCCTTTCAAAACCATCTTCATCTGGAACAAAAGCAGTTAGTTGTCAGATCTAAGTCCCAACATGCTGAAAGACTGAGACTCTGAGTCATATGTGAGCCCTTTATGCTCATGATGAAACAAGTGAGGGAAAAGCACATAGGACTAGCCTGGGCATCTAGACTTCTCTTGTCCTAAAGTAGACATGAAGTAGCTGAAGTAAGCCAGCATAACGCTCTTAAAGAATGTTTTACCTGATTTATGAAACTTTGAAGCTTCTTGACCTATTGCTGAGCACAAGTTTGTATTGTGCTTTAAAAAACCTGAAGCCTGTAAGCAATTAAGTGGTGGTCCCTTCTGGGAAAGAAGGGGGCAAAAAAAAAATTCTGCCGTTAGTTAAATTGGAATCACCAGGAACAAGTGGAGCATGTTTATGGGCTATGGCTTAAAAATGAAAAACTGCTTTCTTTAGCAGTAACCGAGTTCTTTGAGATTTTTCTTCCTCTGTATGTTTTGCTACCTGTCTTCTCTCCTCTTGACTTGGAATCCCTGCAGTGGAGATTCCATTATTTAGAGAAGGCAGGAGGAGCTTCAGGGCTTGGGGAAGCTGCACTAGCATTCGTATGTGGCCAGAACTTCCTGATCTCTACAACTGCTTGCACAACTAGCAGAATGCCAGTAAAAACATTTCATCTTAAAACCTCTAGTTACTGTAACAGTCACTCCTTCCTCACTCTGCTTTCTCTCTCTAGCATCAAATGATTGTAGCTACCAAAATGAATTTAGACTGTGCAGCTTGTGCAAACATGTTTATTAAGTTGAAGATTAATGTGCCTTTTTTTGTGCTTTCATATTCAGATCCTGTTTATGAAGATATGCTGAGTGAAAGTCGTAAAATGATCACTAATGAGAAAATAGATGCTTATAATGAAGCAGCTGTTCGTATTCTGAACAGCAGCTCCCGAAATTCCAAAGCTAAGGTTAAAGTGTTCAGCGTGTCAAAGTTGATAGCTCGAGAAACTATCATGAAATCTTCAGATGGCCTCCACCTCCCTGAATCAAGCAGAGAAACAGTGAGTATTTTTACTTCTGGTTAACATTAAAAAGCACCAATCATGAAAAAAGATTTTAGTGAAGATTCTGAAATGGCTGACAGCATAAATTTAAGAAAGATCAGTACGTTCTTCAGGACAATTTGTTCAAAAGAGCCCAGTAGGTGGAAGGGCAGTTCCGTATGTTAATACATAGCTATTTTTAAAATACATTTTAATTCTGTGTGTTAAATAACACACAGTCTGTAGATCTTTTGGATCTCGAGTAGTCCAAGGTGCCAGTTTGCTGTCCTGTTTTGCGTAAGTGAGTTAGGCCAATGAGGATTGGTAAAGCAAAATTTGGGAATAAGTCTTCATTTTTCATCATGTTTATGTGCACTTCCATTTAGGGAGCAGTATGAAAAGAATGATAAAACACACGATAGATCCCTTTTTGGGTGCCTGACGTGCTACTGGCATTGTTCCTCATTTTGTCTTTAACATCTGCACATGTTTAGCAGCCTGTCATGTTGTCAGAACCTGCCCCTTTTGTGGCTGAACACTGTGACACTTTCAGTCCCACGTCAGAAGTTTCAGTTAAATACTGGATGGAGTAAGCATCATCTCAGCATGGGTTTGGGTCCCATTCTCATCTTTATGGGTTTTCATTATTATACATCTTTAGGCCTCTGAGATTGCCAGCTATTTGTAGTCCCTTTGCCTTTTTTAGTCCTTTTAGCTTGTTTTACAGCCAGTCCTTCTCTTAAAAGGATTTGTTCTTTTTGCTCATCCTGAGAATCAGAGTTCGTTGTTTGAGAGAGACATGCTGATTCTGCTACTGAAAGCATCTAGGTACGTGGGAGCACTATGGAGTTTTTAACTCTGTAGTAAAACAGGAGAAATGCATATGGCTTTCGTTAGTGTGTAATGTAGTTTAAGAAAACTAACTGTGCTGAAAATACTATTTTATTGCAGCATAATTGACCACATTGTCTATTTCTGTGACAGAATGCAATGATTCTCATGAATGTCTACTGCAATAAGATCTTGAAGCCCATCGATGGCTCCTGCTGCCAGCCTCGGCCGCCTCTCACGCTCATTCAGAAGTTAGCTTTCTGTTTCTTTACTTTGTCCTTCATTGGGTATTTAATTATCAATTTAATTCATCGAAATAATTACCGGAAGAACAAACCATGCACTGACTTGGAAAATGGAGAAGAAAAGAAACCTGCCGTCAGTACTCCTGCTGTTTCCACTCTGGAGATGCTGTTACACTCCTTCTGCAAACTTGGTCTAATCATGACCTATTTTTATCTGTGCGACAGAGCAAATCTTTTCATGAAGGAAAATAAGTTTTATACACATTCATCTTTCTTCATACCAATCATCTATATCTTGGTTTTGGGGGTATTTTATACCGAAAATACCAAAGAGGTAATGATCATCCTGACGTCCCACTTGTAATGTGGTCCCATTTTGACTGTAAATTTCTAACTGCTAAGTATTGAAAGTTTAAATTCTCAAATGGGTGTAATTTATCTGAAAAAAAATGGTCTTGCATAACTTATCTGCAAAAAATGGTTTCACAAGCACTGTAATATTTGCATGCAGTTAGAGGTAAAGCTTTTCCAAAGTGTATGGGCATGAGTGTTTTTCATCTTTGTCACTCAGTCAGATTTTAAGTGAGCACAGCTCAGCTAAGGGAGGGAATGGATTACGTGAATATATAATACACTAGTGCCCATAACACAGAGGCCTTTACAGTTTAGACCTGCCCATAAAGTGGTTCATTGTTTTGAACTTTTTATTCTCATTTTGTAGATGCGTCTTGTACTTGTTGGAATTACAACACTCTTGTTTTGTTTTGCATTAGACTAAAGTGTTAAATAGAGAACAGACTGATGAATGGAAAGGCTGGATGCAGCTTGTTATTTTGATTTATCATATCTCTGGAGCAAGCACGGTAATTGATTTAAATTTCATATTTTTAGATGGGAATGGAATTTGAGTGTGTTAATTTGAAAGAAGGTGAAGCTTTATTCATCTTCAAGAGATAAAGCTTGAAATGTGCAAATATTTATCAGACCTGATTAGAATTAGAATAATGTTATTGTTCCATTACGTTTTTTTAAATGGTGTTTACAGCGTTAGGTTTTTCTCTCTCCCTTTCAATGTAGATGTCGTTGATAATATTTTAAATGTGCCTTGCCATTTAAAGGATAAACTTCTGTTTGCTTCTTGTAGAAAAAAATGCATTAATTTATTTTTAATTCCTAGCAACACTTTCTTTTTATAGTTAGAACGTGAAAGTGCTGAAGGATGAGCTTTCACAGGTCCTTTTTTGAACTTTCTTAAACGAATACAGAATATGGAAATGTAGAATAACAGAACAGAAGAAATACATTGATATGTTAATATTGAAGAGACAATGTCAACAAAAGAGCTTAGTGAAAAAGCAGGAAGCACAGCATAATGTTTCTTTTCTTAGTGTAATCTGATTTAGCACAACACAGAAAAAATGTAAAATAGGAAAACCCAAAGCATTTACGTGTCCGTTTGTAAAAGGTACCTGATTTTTCCCAACAGTTTTTGCCAGTGTACATGCACATTCGAGTTCTTGTTGCTGCATATCTGTTCCAAACAGGTTATGGGCACTTCTCGTATTTTTGGATAAAGGGGGACTTTGGTGTGTACAGAGTGTGTCAGGTAAGAATACTTACTGTTTTTGTTAAGAAGTGTGTTCAGATTTCCAGCTCCCTGAATGGTGTGGTACTAGATGATTTCATCAAGGCTTGCCATTCCAGAATATAGTCGTCGTTTGAATGTAATCTACCCTACATATGTAGGCCTTAAAAATCCATAGTAGTTATTTTTCAATATATAGCAATGGAGATTAATGATCAAGGGAGTCAGGGGTGGGGGAAAAAAGAGACAGTCACATGGCCAGATTTATTTGGGTAAATCTTAAGTTTCTTCTATAGACTGTAATGAATAAGAGGCTTATTCAGAAAGTGATGTTCTGAATAACCCTCAAGAATAGTGTTCCCCCAGTGACTATTGAGAGTACCAGGAGGGCCAGGGCGGTCGTGGTAGGTGTCTAAACCTGGATGGCTCTTACTTGCTCTCCTCCATTTTGGGGAAATACTGTGGTTTTCCCAGATTAGCCATTGAGGTAATTACATTGTCTTTCCCTTATCTGTTTTCACCATATCAGTCTTACTCATGTTCATTTATTTCTGTGGGTTTTTTTTTTTTTTGAATTACTGATATGTTTATATCAGAGTTTTCTTTTTACATGTATATGAATCTTTTGGTGAATCCAAGACACTACTGAATACAAAATTTCTTTTCTGATCTCTGTGAATAAAATTATTCAGCAAAGCCCAGCAAATTGGCTTTGTTGCTCCCAGCACTGCAAGGCTGTATGTAGCGGGATCAAACACTGGCTTGTGCCTGGTTTATGTTGAAGTCATTTCCACTTGCTGACTTTCTGAAAGCAAGTATTTTGGGATCTTCCTCACCACTGGATCTGTTAGAGAAACTCTCTGCACGTTGCTACTTTATTAAGTATCCATCTGTTTCATATGGAATTAGATACTTAATACATGAACAAGAGGAATCACTGGGTTAATTTGCTACCTTTTTCAAAACAGAAAAATATACTGAAATATTGGACAGAGCCTACTTTTGTCAATGAAGAATATCTTGAAGGGGAATGTACAGTCTTCTTCTCCTTTCTTCCAGGTTTTATTTCGTCTCAATTTCTTGGTTGTGGTACTGTGTATAGTGATGGACCGGCCTTACCAATTCTACTACTTCGTGCCATTAGTCACTGTCTGGTTTGTGATCATTTATGTCACCTTAGCTATATGGCCTCAGATCGTCCAGAAGAAAGCAAATGGTGAGACAGCTCGTTCTGCTCTAGAGCATTTACATATAGCTACAGATAATTAACCCTCTGAACCTTTTTGCTAGTAGATCTCAATCTCTTTGTCACATAATACAAATATGTTAAACAGTTATTCACAGAAATACAGTTTGTTATATATTAATAATATGTCAGTTGAAAGATGTAGCAGCTGCTAACTGGACTCAAACTCTGGTTAAACTGTCGGGTTAGAATATGTTTTTAGTGGGGTTTTGACCGTTAGAGGTGTATTTTTTTCAGGATTTGTAGTAAGTTAAGTAAGTAAGTTTTTATGCTATAAATTACATACTAGTTGAGATTGTTACTGTAGCGTGTGGAGAGGCAGACATGATCAGGCCTTTGGGCTTCTCCCTTTCGGCCTTGCCAACACACCTACTGCTTAGTTAACTGGCTGCCGGTTGCAAGGTCAGCCTCTTGGGTTTTTATTTAGGATATTTACCTCACGAGAACCGTCTCTCCGAGGTACCTCTCGTGAGGTAAATATCCTAAATAAAAACAGAGGCGAAGCCCCGCTTCATTTCACGCATTGCAGTTCATTGAAGGGCTGTCATTGTGTGGTAACCACTTGGTTATTTAAATCACCTCAGTTAGAACTGGTAGCCTTGTAAGTCTCTTTCCTTCTTCACTATTGGTGTAGTAATATGCAAATTTTATGTAATCTACAGAAATGACAGTGAAACCCAATCCATGCTAGGAACAAATGCTGTAGAAGTAACAGGATATCCAGAAGGCCAGTAGCTCTGATGTTCTTTTCTATAAAGGCACTTCTGTTCCATATACAGAGAAATGGCTGCTGTGCAGCTCAGAGCCACAGTTTGCTGTGAAATGAGAAAATTCATCAGTGGCAACTTTGTATTGCAGTTTAGAGCTGCCAGCTTTTGTGGCAGGAGAGGGCGATGATTTCTCCACCTGAGTCTTGGGTAGAGCTGAACGTCCCTGGGCAGCTTTGGGGAGAGGTTCCTCTGACTGGGCTGCCTTCCCTTGGCCTTCATGAGTTGCAGTTGAACATTGGGGACAGCTGGTTCCCCAGGGTTTAATAATTGTGCTCAAGTTACTGCACTGTTTATGGTAATTGCTTAAAGTCAAATTTAAAGTGTAATATGTAGATGGTGGAAAAATATTGTGGGTGAAATTCGAGTGCTTATTTCTGAATGTATGTATTACTAGGCATGTCTTCACTACATGCTTAGCACTAGTATTTAAAGGAGTTGTGGATTTTGCTGTTGAAAAATTGACTGAATACTCATTAATCTGTGTCTTCCTCAGGGAACTGCTTCTGGCACTTTGGTTTGCTGCTGAAACTGATTTCCCTGCTCGCGTGTATATTTTTTCTATCCTATTCTCAGGTTTGTGAATTTTGAATATTTGTATGCTTAAAGATTAATAATCATACCTACATTTATTTTTTAGTGCTGCTCATAACTTGACTATTTGCTATCGTGTCATAAATACACAAGAAAAAACTGGAACCTTTCCATTTCACCTTTTCCTACTTGCATCATTGCGAGTCATGGAATTATCCTCAGTTCTGTATGGTGTTCATTTCTTTCTGCTAATTGGCATTATGATTTCAGTGTAATACTACTGACAATAAAAATTAAGGCCTGGACTTAGAGGGGTTTTTGAATGTGCTTAACATTAGTGGGGTTTGAATCTGGTAGCAGCTGCAGGTACCGACATCTGTGTCTCTTGAGACCTGCCATTACAGACTTTGATACATCAGCAAAACACTGGTTCTCATTCAAAATCATGACTTAAAGGATGTTTACTGTAATATACCTGAGAGAGGAACAAGAGCAGAGCTGGAAGGGTAGAAAACTGTAGTTTTCTGAAGAATGTGTTTGGTGTCCCAGTGTGTGCATCGTAGGCCTGCAGTGCGAAAGGGAGGGTGGGAATGCAGGTACCTTTGTCAGCGGGAAGCAAAAATGAGGACATTTTGTCATCTGAGAAAAAGTAGTTTTTGAGCAGGTTATTTTTGAGTGTTGGGTGGTTTGAGTGGGTTTTGGATTCGTTTTTGTAGAAAAGCCAGTTACTTCAGTAATGTTACATAGCTTCAATGTCAGATCAGTTGGCCTGGGATAACACTAAAAGAAAACAACTTAATTCATTTAAATTTAGTAAATACAGCTGAAATAATTAGTGAAATCACTTTTTTTTCTTTTTTTCCCTATCAGGGTGCATTTGAGAAGATATTTTCCTTTTGGCCACTGTCCAAGTGTTTCGAACTGAACGGGAATGTCTATGAGTGGTGGTTTAGGTGGAAGCTAGATCGCTATGTATGTAAAGCTTATGCATGTTATAATGGTCTTTTAACCATATTTTTTGATGGGCTTGAGTTTGGTTTTGCTTTATCTTCAGAGAAAATAGGAATTAGATGTTCCAGTGGCTAGTTTATTGTAAGCTTGAGCTGCATCCACCTGACATTTGCAAATGTCTGTCAAAACCTTTAAAGGATTGGTGATGACTTATTTGCTTTAAAAAAAATAGTCATAAAGTGTTTTTTGTCTCATGTCTAACAGAAATTTTGCTGCAAAAAATCTTGAAATGACTTGAAATGCAAATTAATGACTTGACTTTCTTAATTTTTTTTTTGAAAATCAAACCAAGAATATATTTCCTTTCGGATAACTTCAGAAACACTTTTGTTAGAATCCAGGGTCTTCATGTCAAGAATGTCTTAGACTATTTTTACTTTTTTACAGATTTAGATTTTTTTTTCAGTAGGAAAGAGTTTTCTTCCCCCCTGCTGGCACATGGAACACTGGGGGCAGAACGGGCTGACACTTCTGGGTTTGTGTTTTTGGGAAGCTGGGAGGCCGAAGCCCCCACGTGCCCCTCTTAGCCCTGTCCTTGTGGGGTGACTTCTCTGCGCGGCCCCGAGGGCGCCGGGCAGGAACGTGTGAGCGGGGGCTGCCCGCTCGGGAGCAGCACCGGTCCTGGGGGTGAAGGCCGGAGGGGAAGTCCCGGAACAAGCGCAGCAAGCGGCTGGAGCAGTGTCGTGTTGCCAGCTAATGAGAACTTGGCATAACATCATAAATCACTGCTCAATAATTCTGTCTGTGCGCGGGGAAGGCACTTGTGGGCCTGCTTGAATGTTTTCACCTGCCAAATTGGGAGCAGGCCAAGGAGACTCATGTTTTTTTCCCAGAGAAAGCCCTTTTCAGTGCTGGCAGAGGTTGTGAAGAAGATAGAGGGTCCTCGAAAGCTTCTTGACGGTTCATTGTCATGTGTTTAATGCTCTGTGAGGCATTTCTTAGAGTGTGCTAGTCTTCATTTTGAAACTTGGTTGAATATGCAGCTTGTGACAGCTTAGTGTAGGAAGCCTGATTTTGTTTAGTAGAGGAAATCTGGGCCAGGAACCTCTGACAGGCTTTGGTATTATAAATGCCTTCAGTTGTAGCATCCTGGTTAAGAAACTTCAAGTTTCTGCCTGAAGCACACGTAGAAGCTATGAAATAGTCACTACATCCTTTTTATCTTTTACAGGTGGTCTTTCATGGGATGCTGTTTGCTTTTATTTATCTGGCATTGCAGAAACGACAGGTTCTTTCAGAAGGGAAGGGGGATCCTCTTTTCTCCACCAGAGTTTCAAATGTTTTACTATTTATTTCAGTTGCATGCTTTTTGGTAAGTACCTAGTATACCTGATACCGTAGTTTAATCAGGTTGGCAAATCTCAAGTTAGAGTCAGGTTATTTGCAGTTCTGTCTTAGCATGTATGGTGATTTGAAAAACCAGCTCTCGTTTGAGGAATTTCAGCTGGGTTTTGTGCACAGCCCTACCTGCCTCTTCCCTAAAATACTTTTTCCTTTCAGTCAAGTGCAGATGAAAATGCCGTTACTTTTTCAGATCATTGCAAAGATTACAAAAAAAGCCAGGTCCTAGGAGCGATGTGGTAGATAATGCAGCTCTTCGCTGTTGATCGCCTAACTGGGTTGAATGCATTGTGAACAGTATTTCTGTAGCTTAGGGTATCTTGTATCTTTGTATCTTGTATCTTTGTATCTTCATCAGTTGCAAGAAGAATTTGAGAGAAACGCAAAACTAAGCACAATGTTGTTCTTTCTAGTCTTGTAGCATAGTTCAGTGACTGCTGAAGCATTTCTGAAGAGCTTGTGTGTTGTTTCATTTTGAAACCTTACCTATAATGGTTACATAGATTTTTGTATCTTTTAGACCTACTCTGTTTGGGCTAGTAGCTGTAAGAATAAAACAGACTGCAATGAGCTGCATCCCTCTGTTTCTGTTGTGCAGGTAAATATATTGCTTCTCCTTACAATTACAGCATCAGGACTGTTCTTGTTTTTAAATGTTTTTTAAAAATAGTATTTTTGCTTTAACGTAGAATTTCAAACAATTGACTACATTTTCATGTGAGGGAGTGAAGGGGTTTATGGCCCTGCTGCCTTGAGCACTCGGATCACGTGCTGCGACAGAGCTTCCGTCTGACGCCGGTGCCCGTGCGCGCGGTGGCCGCCGCAGCGCCGCGGCGCCGCTGCCCTCCTGCTGCGCAGGCAGGGTGTCCCGGGAGGCCTCTCCTGGCAGCTGCCCCTTCCTGCGCAGCCCGAGCGCGGCTGCGGCCTCCAGAGCTGCTGCAGGGGGGCACCAAATTGCAAACAAGCCCCAGGGCTCCCTCTTTCCTCCGGGGTAAATGTGCCAAGAGAGAGGGAGACTCCAGGCACCCTCTAGCACTGCCCAAGTCCAAGCACAGCTTCAGATAAATTGCTCAGCAGTGAAAAGAGGCGAGAGCTGTGCGGGAACGTGAGCATTTGGGAGGCATTAACGCCGTGAGGGAGCTGCGGGACTCTTTTGCTGCTGAGGCTTGAGGGGCCTCCCTTCTCAAAGGAGAAGAGGGCAGCGACAGGGGACTGTGTTTAGCTGCATGGAAGTTACGTTTCTGTCCTTTATCGTGTATCCTTCCCCCACTGTTCCCCACTGCTTCCACTCTGATCAAGTTTCATTTTTTTCACCCTTTTTCCTGCTCTGCCGCAGGGTGGCTTCCTCAATGGGCTACCTATTTTCTTAATATTAATGTTGTGAATCTTGCTACCCCAGGAGGGGCCGTACAGCTGTGACTGTGCCTAGAGAGTGTGCACAGGACACTCTCTCAAACACAAATTACTTGGGTTTGGCTCTCTTGCACTACTTTTTTTTTTTTTTTAGATTAAAACAAAAAGTTAACAAAATGCTTTTACCACGCACTTTTTGGACCATGACAATGCATAAGCTTTTTAGTGTGTGGTCTGAAGGCTACTCGTCACCCACAGTTCTCTTTTTTTTAGATTTTGGCTTTCGTCCTCATCAGGAACATTCCTGGATACGTCCGCTCTGTCTACAGCTCCTTCTTTGCCTGGTTTGGCAAAATTTCTTTAGAGGTAAGAGTGAAGTGCAGTGAAATTCACCTTGGGAATGTCTGCTGCTTTTATCATTTAATTGTAATATATTCCATAAACAGTATTATACATAACTGTATTATGCCTAATAGTGTTTATTTAGCACTGTAGCTTCTGTCCACACTTAAAAATAGTAGCTGAAATAGCAGTCTCACAGTAGTGAGACTCCTGCTGGTTAGGGGGTGAATTTGGGGTCTTGCAGGTGGGGATTTAATGCTGGAGCAGGCAATAAAGTGGGTAGAATTTAAGCCAGTTCAAGGATCATCAGGAATTATGCTAGCTAGCGGAGGAAGACTTAGAATTTATTTGTCTTTAGAAAGCTTTGCTTCATTAATAAATAAATACGGTTTTATGAGGAAAACCCTTCTTAAAGATATTACCTGGATACTTTTTTGTTCCCCTGAACAAAACATTTGGAACGTGTACATTTAGAATCGGTGGGAGTTCTCAGTTCTCCATTTTAACCGTTGTTTAGTCATGAAATGCTTAATTGTACTGTATGGCAAAAATATTTTAAAAAGGAAAATAACTTCCTGGGAAAAAAAAAACACTGTGATGGAGTTTGTATGTAGATAATTTAAAATTTCTCAGTTTACCTTAAAGGATGGTATTTTGGCAGTCCAGGTTCCTGCTGGACTTTTTCAGAGGTGCTGCTCGGCTGCCTGCGGCAGAGACAAGGGCCACAGAGTTGAGCCAAGTACCCTAGTTGGTTGTTAGGGTCCCTGCTGGTGCGGGGTCAGAACTGTGCATGGGGAGCTTATATAAATGCCTCACAGCCCACTCTGTTCTCCTTCTAGCTCTTCATCTGCCAGTACCACATCTGGCTGGCAGCAGACACCAAGGGGATCCTGGTGCTTATCCCGGGATATCCGATGCTCAACGTTATGGTCAGCACTTTCATATTCGTGTGTGTGGCACATGAGATTTCCCAGATCACTAACGATCTGGCACAGATCGTTGTTCCTAAAGATAACCCCACTCTCCTGAAAAGGTTGCTCTGCATGGCTGGGTTTTTTTCTGGACTGCTGCTCTTCTCAGCCATTCAAGATCAGTCGAGGCATTAACTTAACAATGTTCTGGCAAACTTTCTTCAGGTTTACTTTGTGTCTGCCTGAAAAGTAAAAAAAAATCAACTGGAGGTACAAGAAGACATTTAAACAAAGTGTATGGAAAATGTATATAGGGGAAATGTACATATTTTCTGCGGAAATAGCCTGCTTCTCTCCAAGATTGTGAGAAACAGGGATGCACTGTACAGAAATGCATGTGAAATTGAGTCTTTTCTACTGGATATCAAGTTCTGTTTACATATCCGCTTAAACGTAACATGAAGAAGTGAAGCTAGATGGTTGAGCAATCCCGCATGGATATCATGGAATTAACTTTTCCTTCGGCCAGCGGCCAGGACGGTGGCCGTTTCCTGGCGCCCTGCGTGCACGCAGCCGGGAAGCGGCTCCACAAAGGGGCTCCCTGGGGATGGCTCCCTTGGGCCGACGTGGAGCAGGGACTCACTTCTCTGGCAAGCCAGGGTATTTTTCTAAACAAAAGGTAATTTCTTGTCTGGAATGAGTATTTTCAATGGAGCCAGTATATGTTATATGAAACTCTTTATACATTGAAACAAAAAGTCATCCCCATTTTAGTGATTTAAGATTATACCCAAGTTTACATAATGTTTTGGGAATTTTTTTTTTATTATTATTTTAAGATCTTTTCAGCAGGTATGGTGAATTCTGAGATTAAATTATTTTTGGAACTATATAGACAATTTTATTTTGATTTTTCCTAAAATTGTTTGCTTTTTAATAAGCTTTCCACTAATACATTTAACTTTTTCCAGTTCTCTGTGGAATCCCAGTGAACAAGCAGGTGAATAGTTTCCAGAGACTCAGCTGAATATGGAGAAGGTCTCAAGCTCCTATCCTTGCATTTCATCCTTGAAATTCCATCAGACCCACATGCTCAGACCTCACAGGGAAGGAAGAGCAGGGGAACATTCACACTTGAACCACTCTCTGCGTTTGTAGGTGGCTTTGAACTAGGTCTCACTAGGAAACCGGTGACATATTCTGTCCTGTAGTCCATTTAAAGTGTGCTGTAGTTCCATTTAAAGGGACAGATGCCAACCTGATCTCCTGAAGATGAGTGTTGATGGGATGAACCTGTTTTCTCATGCTGCCCATTGGTGCCCAACCTTCATTACCACAAATCCATCTCTGAGCCCAGTTTTAGATCCTTTTGTTTAGCATAAAAACGAAATTGAAAGAAATGGCACTTCAATGTGGAAGTAGCAGGTTGGAGTTCAAGGTTCAGTGTCTTCTTCCTTGTTTGTGGTTGGGTTTACACAACATGCCGAGCTTCAGTTGCTTTTTCATTCTGTTCTACTGGTTTCTTTTTAGCAGTTTCAAAATGAGTACAGTACATGAGTACAGTTAATGGTTCTCAAGCATAAGTACTATTATAGGTAACTACAAACTCTATGACTCTTAATTTATACTGTATATATTCTGGCACGTGCATGTTTGTGATATTATCTCAGCTGAAAAATCAGTTCAAACTTGCAGCCAAAAATGACTGCCAAGTAGTTTCTGTGAAAGCAAGGCTTCAACTTCCATTTCAGGAAAGAGACTACTCTCAGGAAAATGGGTCCATTCAGTCAGAAAAGGAAAAAATAGTAATTCAACCTCCCAAAACAGATTCATTGGGCAGTTTTGGTGAATCAGGCAGCTAGTTTGATAAGCTATTGAAAGACGATGATGTATGTGCAGGACCTGGAATGCTTGGGGAGCCGTCCTGCCTTCTCAGCAGTGGCCCAGGTCAGAATGACACAGACAGGGGAGCACTGGACGGGCGCATAGGACACACAGCACCTGCACCAGCATTGGGAGCAACGGGGAACTGCGAGCGCGAGGGATGATTTTGGTTTGTCTTGTTCTTCACAAGCTAAGTATTTTAGATACCATTTTATTTATCTGTTGTACAGATTTGGTTAAAAAGATTTATTTTTAATGTTTGAATTAATGCACTTGTTTACTATTACTGTATGTGGGATAAATATATTTTCTTTCAAGGTTATGTGAAACTATGAAGTAATTTAAACATTAAATAAATGTGCTGTGGATGCTCATTTTTGTAATGGGACGAGCCTCAGTTAAGTAAAAACTCTTGTTGTCTGACTTTAGCTGGGCTGCACTTCACTGTTATGCCTGAGTTCCACATGAGTCCTGCAGGGTCTCCCCAGAGCGATGCCCGGGATGCTGCTGCTTCCAATATTTGTTTTCGAAGGGGAGACGCTTTGGGTGCTGTACAAGGAGGAAGCCCCTGTGTGGAATCCAGGCTGCCCAGGGCTGCAGCCAAGCCCAGGGGCTCGGACAGCCCCCATGGGGGTTTGGTGCCGGCACAAGGGGGGCCGCAGAGCCCAGCGGGGGCTCTGCCTTGGGCTCCCCCTCGGTTCCAAGCCCGGAACTCTCAGGTGAGGATCTGTGGGAAAGCACAGGAATGAACTGTACCCCATCAGGAACCCACCCTGCAGGCCTCCTTTCCTTATGGAATTCAGCTTCTTCATTATTGCTTCAGTCTCATAGGTAACTGACAGAGCAAGGGGCAGTCCAGGCAAAAGATTCCCAGCTCGTTGTCGCCTTTCAGCTCCAGGGGCTCCCCTTGTGCCCCCACCACAGCGGGGGCCGCG